AAAAAAAAAAAAAAAAAAAAAAGCGAGGGGAGTAAGCCATGCCTATAAGTCATTTTTCTGACACATAATCGTGAAAATGTCCACAACTCAGTGAAAATAGAGACCTTGCAAATGGATTTTTAAAACAAAGCAAATTAGACCAGATACAATATTGAGGGCAGGAGCGAGGTCTTACGTTTGTTTTTGTCCCCAGCCCAGGGCCTCAGGCAGTGATGGATACATATTTGGTGTCAATTAACAGTCCCTGAATTACTGAATGGAAATTTACTGGGGCTCACTGCAGGGACTGACTCCACACACAAATAGACTTGCCCCATGGGATTCTTCACAAGAGCAGATATTTTATAAGAACTGTCACTTGGAGCTGATTGGATCGACAAAGTGAAACCAAGAGATTTCATTTTAAAACCAAATAGATTTATTCTGCTAAGTTTTACAAGCAGGATACAGTGTTCTGCTTTTTGTAGGGAATTGGACAAGATAACTTGTAACTGGAGGTTTGTAGGTTCTATCAAAATATTGGGAGGTATTTTTTGTTTTAAAACAGATGAACCCCGCAGGCGAGCTGGCAGGAAGTCTGATTGCAGACTGGGAGGATGACACGGGCCAAAGGAGAGAAGAAAAACAAGGCAGCCAGAGGTACTGAAGCACTTTGCAGAGAGCTGCAGAACTTCCCAGGCTTTTCTGGAGAAAGGAAGAAAAGGAGAGTAAAGAGCAGGAAGAGAATTGTTTAACAACTGCCTGCAGAAAGGCTGACGAGTGGATTTGCCTATTGATTTTGTTTTTCCAAGTCAGGGGAAGAAGGTGGGTGCCCTTGGCCTGGCTGCTTGCTGACCTGACATCTTCTCGGGCCTGGGTGTTGAGCCTGCTGCCCTGGGCAGCTTGAGGAGGGAAGTGGAATGCCCTCCAAAGCGGATGTCTAAGCACTCTGAGAGTTCGAATGGTTTAGTTTTGCCTTTAAAGTGTTTATATGTATTTACTTCTCAAATAAGTACACTTACACGTTCAAAACTAAAAACATAAAAATATAAAAAGATATATACAGGACTGGGGATTTAGCTCAGTGGTTCCACCTTCTGCCTTGCGAGTGCAAGATCCTGAGTTCGATCCATTCCTATCCCTTATATGTACAGTTCCCCAAATAGAAAACCTTGTGTTTTGATTTTTATCTGTGTAATGTTGTTTCTATACATATGCATGCTAAAACAAATCTATAATCTTTACTTTAACATAAACACTGCCAGGCTGTTGTTTTGGGAGTGGATTTTTTTTTTTAGTACATGTTTGAAGTACCTAATAATTACATTTATTGTGGGGAGTTGTACACAATACATTCTGATTCTTCTTCTTGTTTTTTCCATTTAATATTTTATCTTGGAGGTATTTCATATCTTCATTTTTTAGTGGCTGTCGAATATTACATTGTAGATATACTATAATTTAACTATAGTTCCCACCAAGAGACATTTAGGTTGTTTCTAGTCTTCTGATGTTACAAACAAGCACACAGATTTTAAAGACAGAGAGAGGGAAGTTTAGTGGGTACTGAGTTATACTTAGATGGGAGAAATATGTTCTGGTGTGCTGTGACACAGTGAGGTGACGATAGGTAATGATAATATACTCTATATCTTTTAAAAGCTAGAAGAAAGGATTTTTAATATTTTCACCTTTAAGAAATGTGTTTAAGGAGATAGGCTTACCCTGATCTGAATATTACACAATGTTTACATGTATGGGACAGTCACATGATACCTCATAAATATGTACAATTTTTGCATTGTCAATTAAAAAAATAAAGTTGCTATAAATTGTGAGGGGGAAAAAAATAAAGACAGATATGATTTCAAGTTCTAGTCCTAGATGATTAACACTTTATCTTTCCTCATCTGCAAAATGGGAATCATTTTTATGTTTGTATTACCTGTCCTGTGACATTTCTGTGAAACATTGAATATTATACAAACTGCTGCTGAAGTGATAGGTGCTCAGTGAAAACAATATACCTTGTAAAGGGACATACTGATGTCTATTCTTTTTGGGGGGTAGATACTGGGGATCAAACTCAGGACCTTGCACTTACAAGGCAGGCAGTGGCACCACTGAGCTAAATCCCAGGCCCTTGATGTCTATTCTTGAGGAAGAAGACATGCCCAGCATGTGCAGGGTCCTAGTTTCTCTAGGTGTATGGTGCACACCCGTGAACCCAGCACTCTAGGAGGCTGAGACAAAAAGACGGCAAGTTCCAGCCACGACCCTGGGTTCGATCCTCAGTTCTACCAAAAACAAAACCAATAATAACAAAAAATCGGGCTGTGTGTGTGTTGCTGCAGATGGAACCCAGGGCCTTACACATGCTGAACAGAGGCTCTACCACTGAACTATATCTCCTGCCTTGGCTATTTTTATAATTTATATTTTTAGAAAAACTTTAGAATGATTCTGCCAAATTCTAGAAAAATTAAATGAAAAATTCCATTGTGTTCATACATTCATCTGGGGGCTACGTTTCTATGGCTATTGTGATACAGTAACACAAACTTGATGGCTTAAATAACATAGATTTATTCTTTCATAATTCTTGAAGCCAAAAGTCTAGAATCAGTGTCCCTGGGCTGCAGCCAAGCTGTTGACAGGGCTGGGTCAGTAGGGCCACGCTCTGCCTGAAGGCCACAGGGAGGAATCCGCTCACGCCTCTGCCAGCTTCTGGTTTCTGCTGCCACTCATTGCTCATGTGAGCCTGCATCACTCCAGTCTCCATGGTTACAATATGGCCTCCCCTTTTGTGTGTCTGAGGACACCTGTGATGACAAGGAACCTTTTCCCAAATAAGGTAATATTTGTATGTTCCAGGGATCAGGGCAAGAATACTTTTGGGAGACCATTTTTCAACCTACCATGGGAAAATTAATGTCTTTCAAACATATAGCTTTTCATACAAATCAGAATGTCTTCTTTTAGACCTGTAGGTGACGTTTGGTATTTTTCTTCACATATGCTCTGCATGTCTCTCATATGGGTGGGGGAAGGTCTTTATATTTTCTTTTTTCTTTCTTTTCTGCAATACTGGGGATTAAATGGGGCACTTTGCACTGAGCTACATCTCCCATTCTTTTTTCTTTTTCTGGTATCAGAAATTGAACCGAGGACCTTATGCTTGCCAGGCAGGCATGGCGCCATCTCCAGCTCTTTTTCTTTCTTGCTTTCTTTTTTTTTTTTTTTTTTTTTTTTTTTTGCTTTTTGAGGGAAGGTCTTCTCCTTTAGTAGTTCGGGCTGGCCCTGAATTTGCTGTATAGCCCAGGCTGGCCTTGAACTCACAGTGCTCCTCCTGCCTCAGCCTCTGAGTTCTGGATTACAAACATGTGCCACCACATCCAGCCTTTATATTTTCTGACTGCATATTGTTGGCATACAAAAAATTATCATTTTGGGTATATTTAACTATATTGTAATTTTGATATTTGTAATTATGAATATGCCTATTAGTCATAGTGTTTTCCCAGGGGAATTCTTGTGTTTCTAAGTAAAATAGAATATAATCTGCAAGTATTGATACTTTTGTCTTCTTTCAGATATTGAGAGCTCTTCTTTTTCTTGTCTTCAGTGCTAAAATTTTGAGGACAGTTTTTTAAAATAGTGGGTATTCTTTGCTTGTTCAAAGACCTTGGATTTACTTTACTGAATATAATTTGGATGTTGGTTTACAAACCTTAACAGCAAGAAGAATCTGGGATTTTCTAATTGTAAAACTGAGGTCTGCTGATAATTTCCTTTGCTTCTAGATTTCAAATTACCTGTGTTTAAAAAAAATATATAAACGAAAAAACCAAATTCATTCTTTCTAGTTTTGTTTTTCTCTGCTTATTGAATTGTTACTTTTAGGACTTAAGCATCCAAGGCCCCTATTCAGAGTTCTATTAAGAAAGCCCACATCACAGATACATAAAATAATGAATTAGTGAAACGACACATACAACTAGCTGTGGTGACACATGCCTATAATCCTAGCAATTTGGGAGCATGAGGCAGGAGGATCACAAGTTCAAAGTCAGCCTGCGTAACTTATTGAGACCTGTCTCAAACTAAAAAATAAACAGGGCTCGGGGCAAGTGGGTTCAACTCCCTGTACTGCAAACAGACACACACAACTATGGAAATCTCTGTTACTGAGGACCTGGCAGGTGAACAGGGCCAGCCAGACTCACTCATAAACAGCAGTATAAACATCTCTTAGTGTTGTCGAATGGGGTGGGGACAGCAGTGTTTTCCAGGTTCTTATTTGCCCCAATCAATGAATCGGTCAGGACAACTGGTAAACATAAGATTACTGTTTATTTTAGGGCAGAAATAAGAAAAAGGAGGGGAAAAAAACAAAAGAAGTGCTCACGGGGAAAAGGGTGTTTTGGAAGAAAAAGAGAAGATACATCCCGCAAGCAGAACAGACCACTGCAAGAACAAGTGGGCAGCGGCCTCAAAGTCACTTGCTGCTGTCCTTTATGTCTTCTTTGACAGTTGATCCGCCTGGACCTCCTGCTAGAAGACTGCTTTCAGGTGCGAGATTCAGTGTGTCTTGTCTCATAACATAGCTTGGGTGCTGCTGCTCTGCACAGAGGTTAGTGAGCCTCCTGGGTTGGGGGATCCGCACTGCCCCACTGCTGGGTCACCTTGCTGTGCTTGGCCTTCTGCTGCGTTAGGACTAACTATGCTCAGGCCCAGGGAAACATTCTTTGGAATTTCTGAATTTCAATCCCAAGCAAAAAGGGGTCACACCGAATGCTATGAATGTGTAGGTTGTGTGTACTTCTGTGTTGGAGGACTGCTTTGGGGCTCAGGGAGAATATGGGGAGCAGAATCAGTTAAGAGAAAAAACCAAATTAATTTATGGATTATCACTGCTGTAACAAATTAGTACAAAATTAGGGGCTTAAAAAAACTATAGATTGGGCCGGGGATTTAGCTCAGTGTTTCTGCCGCCTGCCTTGTAAGCACAAGGACCCGAGTTTAATCCCCAGTACCAAAAATAAATAAATATATAAAACAAAAAACCCATAGATTCACTCTGAAGGCTGAGGTAGGAGGATCGCTGTAACTTCAAGACCAGCCTGGGGCTACATAGCGAGTTTGAAGGTAGTCTCAACTTCATAGTGAGACCCTGTCTCAAAAACCAAAACAAACAAAACAAAACAAAACAAAAAAATACATAGATTTATTATATTACAGTTGTGAAAATCAGACCCCTAAAATCAAGGTGTCCTGAGGGTTACAGTCCTTCTAGAAACTAGAAGATTCTCTGTCTCTCTTTCTCTCTCTCCCTTCATCTTCCTATTTCTTTATTTTTTCAGTATGGAGATTGGACCGTTCACACTGAGCTGTATCTGTAGCCCTTTTTAATTTTTAATTTTGAAACAGCGTTTCACTAAGCTGCTAAGTAACCCAGGCTGGGCTTGGACTCTGGATTGCTATTATTCTTAGTACCTCACAGAGATGCAAGAGATTCTTACAAGTGAAGTATGCCTTCTCAGCACTGAAGAGCATCAAGTTTCTCCTTTCTTGTCTTTCTGTTTTAGTTGATGGTTTCAGAAATACTCATAAATTAGTAAATATCCAAAATATTGTACATGACCAAGGAAATGGCTTTTTTCTTTTTCTTTTTTTTAGTAGTGGAGATTGAACCCAGGGCTTTTGCACTGAGCTACATCCCCAGCCCTTTTTATTTTTATTTTGAGAAAGAATGTTGTTAAGTCACTAAATTGCCCAGGCCGGGCTTGGAGATCCTCCTGCCTGAAGAATCCAGCATACTGGGACTACAAGTGATGCACCATCACCTCTAGCTATATCATCTTAAAGTTTACATATATGAGCTTATAACATGCATGATTCTTTGTAATTTGACCATTCATTGACTATATAATTATATATAATTATTATTATTATTATGTTATATTATATAATAATATATTGACTATATAATAATACATAGTTTTATTTTATTTATTTACTGGGACTACAAGTGATGCACCATCACCTCTAGCTATATCATCTTAAAGTTTACATATATGAGCTTATAACATGCATGATTCTTTGTAATTTGACCATTCATTGACTATATAATTATATATAATTATTATTATTATT